TTGTTTTTTTGTGTGTGTGTGTGTGCAGTTGGTACTTCGTTTTGCAAATCGCTTTTTCCTGCAACTGTGGAATCGTGACAACATTGACAATGTACAGGTAAGCATTCATTCTTCTTTTTCTTTCCATTTTATTTCAATAAAGTTGTCTGGAAATGTGAATCAAGTAAAAGCATTACTGGTAAGGTTAAGCAGACCTGTGGAGTAGCTGCAGAGAGATTTGCCATATTATTCCCCTTTTGTGATTGTCCTGCTTAAAGGGTAGTACCAACGTATATGCTACAAGCCTGACTGTTAATCTTTTTCTTTTCCCTTGTTGTTCCTATTGTTCCTGTTTTTTTATTTTCTTGTTCTTCTTGCAGATTGTGTTTAGGGAGGATTTTGGAACTGAGGGTCGGGGTGGATATTTTGATGAATATGGGTATGTCAAGTGGAACCTCACATCTTTTTCTGTAAGATTTGTCTATTGATTAGGACCTAGAAATTGAGAATCCTGTGGAAGGTCATAATTCTTTTGTTGCAAGATTTGTTCACGGATTAAGACTTAGTTTCTAAAAGTCATGGTTTTACCATCTGTTAACAGTTTTCTTCTTTAAGAATCCCATAGAAGGTCATAATTCATTTGTTGCAAGATTTGTTCACGGATTAGGACTTAGTTTATAAAAGTCATGGTTTTACCATCTGTTAACAGTTTTCTTCTTTGTTTTAATATAAAAATCTTAGACCTTCAAACTGTATTCTGCACTGTTTTGTTTTCGTTTTCCAATTTGCAATGTGTAAACAAGTAGATGTAATTTTACTTGGAAAAGCTTATGCAAAAAATTTTCCCCGTTCTTCATATTTCTGAGAATTGGTAACTAGCCTGGCATTATTAAATCTGTTTATCATTTCTTTTTGCAGAATCATTCGTGATATTATTCAAAATCATCTATTGCAGGTGAGGCCATGAAATCAAGTTAGAGTAGATAATATTAAAATGATAGATATATAAATTTATTCACAACAGTCCCTCCAATTTGTTTATCATTTTTCTTTAAGATGTAACAGACATATATTCTTGCCAACTGCAGATTCTTTGCCTCATTGCTATGGAGAAGCCTATTTCTCTTACACCTGAGCATATTCGAGATGAGAAAGTGAAGGTGCATCAATTAGTTTCTTATGTCTTCTACTGATAATATGTCGGTGGTCCCTTTCTATCAATCGGCTCAAGATTGAAAAACTCTTGGATGCCTTTTCTAGTATGAGAGACATATCAAGATTTAAGTATTTCTTTTTTACTATGGAATGGAGAACAAATGCATGTAAATGAAGGAGCTTTTCCCCTCGTCATATTGCTTTCATTTTTTGCACTGGGGAGTACAAGGTGTTATGCCAGTTCATTGATAGAGTGGAGAAACACCCGAGCAAGAAAATTGATGAGAAGATTGGCCAGTTCTGGATTGTATTTTTTTCATAAAAGAACTTTTTTCAAGTTTTTAGTTGTAATAACTTTTACATGTAGCTCAAATTTTGAGACTCAAATAGAATGTTCAATAAAACTATAATACTATACTGTCTGAATTCTTGTCATTGTTATTCCTAGAGTGCTTAACGCTACACTTTTATTTATTTATTTTTATTTTTAATTTTTTGCGACGGTAGCAAGATGGTCGTCAAAGATCATGTTAGTGTTTTTCTTTGTTTTTTGCAACGGCAGCGGTCGCCATAAGTAGTTTAGGTGGTCGCAAATAATTTGCGACCGTTGCTTTGCCGTCGCAAAAAGTATTTGCCACCCCCATATTCGCGACCTCCATTTGCCGTCGCATGGGCCGTCGCAAAAAGTCTTTTGCGACTGTTTTTTATTATTTGCGACGGTTTATAGCGGTCGCAAAATGTGTTTTTTTTAGTAGTGCAGTAGCAGAGAATTAATATGAAATTTTAGGGGAATATATATATACATATATATTTAATTAAAGAAATCATGAATTTCAGGTGGGGAAACAGTGGCCTTATTATATATATTAAACTGAATTTCTAATCAAGAATAATATGTAAAGTAATTGAAACAGTGGGCTACGAAATGACTACAATTCTTGAGAATTTAACATAACAGTACCGATATAATATTATTAACATAGTACTAGGACAGTGCACTATTTATATTAGAAACTAAACATAAGAAACAACTAACATGCTTATTCTTTCGGAAAACCAAAACCCTTTTCAGCTTGTTTTATTTACTGTAACAGAAGCAAATATAATGGAATACACTAATCGATTACAAAATACATATGGATCTATTCGTAGAAATTATATAATTAAATAAAATAAACGAATTCATATTTAATTAAATTGAAAAATACAGAACAATCAATCATGCTGGAAACTATAAGTAGATGAACAGAAATACATAATAAGATAAAACAAGAAAAGAATGAAAACCGAAACCTGCGTGATATCACAGTCTTCTTAAAATAGATTCGCCGTCTCATCGTAGGTGCTGGAGGTATGTTGGCGTCTATCTCCCAAGATACGATGGTTAGAACCCGCTAATGCAGAAACACCTTCTGTTTAGCTCCGACAAACTAACAACAGATGTACTCTCTCATACAAGAAGAATAATATTATGGGAGCTGACTGACTATAATATGAGAGTAAAGACACTACAACATATGTCACTTTTGGCGATTAAATTTTTAGTTGCCAAAAGTCAATTTTTAGTCGTCGAAACTTTTTAGTGACTAAAATTTTTGGTCGCCAAATTAGTCGTTGAACAATTGTCGGGGAAAGTAATTGGAGACTAAAAAAAGTTTAGTAGCCGAAAGTCATCAATTTCCGACTAATTTTTTAGTCGCCAAAAGCTTTCAAAAAAAATTAATATCGCATTTTCAGCGACTATAAAATTTAGTCGCCAAAAAAGTAAAATTATTTATGACAACTAAAGTTTTAGTCGCCAAAAAGTTTTTGTTGTTCATCTTATTTTTTTTAAGCTACTAAATATTTTAGTCGCCTAAAGTCTGATTTTGTTTTTGGCTACTAATGTTTTAGTCGCCAAATATATATATATATATATATATATTTACTAAATTCTTAGTTACCAAAAGTGTTTTTTTTTTAATTTTTTTAATTTTTTTTATATGGCTACTAAATATTTAGTAATCAAAAAGTTTTTTCATTTTATTTTTACTTTTAACTACTAACTATTAGGTTGCTAAAAATATGTACTTTCTTTTTGGCTACTAATTGTTTAGTCGCAAAAAATATGATTTTATTTTTTGAAAATTAATTTGTCCACAACCTATACATATTCCTTGGAACTTGTACCATGTATATGAATAAAACAATACATATATTATCAATTATTCTGCAATTTGCATCCATTTCACATCCAACCATCCAAAAAGGAATAACTTTTAATGTCAAATTTCATACAAACTAAATATATTCCAACCTAAAACAATAATTCCATACAAAATAGAGAATATTACCAAAATATGTCCTCCACACACAAAAAAAAAAAATTAAAAACAAAAACTATATATATATATATATATTCACTAAGCAAAACGAAGAAAATGAAAGGATTGGGTTACTTACAGCTTCGATGTGGAGGGACGAAAGTCAAGATTGAACGGGCGCCAGCAGGAACACACGCTTTGTAGGTATTTTGAGCGTGAAAATGGAAGCTCAGAGGCACGAAGAGAAGGAGAAGATGAATAGTGGAGTGTTTGATTTGGAAGAATAAGGTTTTTTTGTATAAAGCGTGAATTTGGACGGGACTGTTCAAATTTTGCGAGGTACGAAGGCGGCTATGGCAGCTGTATTCAACCAATGAGGGCTCGCCATGTGTCCAAGAGAATCGTAAGCGATTCAGATGTGCAGCGACTGAAAACACATTTTTTGACCAGGCAAATTAGTAGCCTGGTATCAATTTAGCTCGGTTGAAGGACAACTTTTAGCTCGGCGGGTAACAATTAATCTCAAATCATGTTGCGCAGATGGAATTAAGGGGCAATTGAGAGGGTAATTTATAAATAAATTGAGCCGAGCTAAGGAAGAGGCTTCTTTAGAAACTGGACCGCACGTCGGACCAAGATAGGAGCTGTTGTAGTTCGGTCTAAAAACTAACGAGCTTGGGCCAGGAGAAATCTGGACCGAGTTATGAGCCGAGGTGCTTGCGCTTCATAAAGTGGACCTCGCCCTTGTTAGCTCAATCAAAGCTTGCTGCAGTTGGCTCGGTCTAAACAGACAAAACTGAGGTACAAATGAACAAGAGCCGAGCTATGTGTTGCATATGAAGGCGCTGGATTAAGTATGACAAAGGGCTAGTGTTAGCTCGGTCATACTGTTATCCAACCGTGGTAAAACCATCTCACTTGGTTTAAGCAGTGAGGAGGGTGTTGAAGGA